CAAAATTCAGAAAAGGATGTTTTTTGAATTTTGAAAGCTAGAAGCATTTCGGTCTCCAGAATGATGTTCCATATGACAGTGCTCAGACCTACACCCCAAGAGAGAAAGGAGGAAACATTGGCACATCTGTTTCAACGGTTATTTTTGAACATGCTCACAGTTACGTTTTCGAATTCAGGTTTCCTTAGAGTTAGGATCTTGGCACAGATCAAAAGCCAGTTGCAAATTCTCAAAGTGTGTTTGAGAATTAGCCCGTTGCAGGGACGGGAAGCCCTCCTGCCTTTCTCACTTGCAGGCCTGCCCAGCCCTTCTGAATCCCTGGTGGGAACTGTGTGAGCCCAGGCCAAGGTCGGCAGGACTGAAGGACAGGGTTGGCAACGCAGCCGCCAGAATGTCTGCGGAAGCCAGGGAGGGAGGGGGCTGGGTGAGCCTTGGGAGAGGTCTGGCCAGACCTCCCATCCCACCACCATTCATAGCCTTGCCCGTGAAACTCGTGCCAAACTAACAGTCCAGGATGGAAATGGAGAGTGAGGACGTAACTGGAGCTGGGCTACTGAACCTAGCAACCTCAACAAACCCTCCTGCAGCGATGCTCTGAATGTCTGTCTTCTGGATACAATACAGAACTCCTGCTACGTCCATCCATCACCAGCAGTAAGGTACTACTGGAACCTTCACCATGACCGCTGTCCTCACTGCTGCCAGAACCATCTCGACCGCCATCACAACCACCGCCATTACCTCTTCTCGCACCACCAGCCCCCCTTCCCACTGCCACCACCATCCCGACCACCCTCACCACTCTCACCACCACCATCACGTGGCTGACACGCAGCACGCACGGCTCAATGTAAAACGGGCTCCAGAGCTTGTTCTTTTACACGCCTTGCTTTATCACATAACCAGGGAACTTAACGAGGAAAGCCAAAAACCTGGCTTTCCCTCCCGAAACACTGGAGTGGGGCACGTCACAGGAATATACTTTGCTACCAGCCACGTTCATTAAATACAGGCACTCTGGTCTCTTTAGAAATACCAATGCAGGAGGACGTGCCTTCCCCTCCACCTGTCCCCGGGCGAGTGTGTCGTGTCTGCCTCTGCAAAGGGCCCGATGCTCACTTCTCTGTAAAGACAACCACCCACCCGCTGCCAGCACGCCGGAGAGGGGAAAGGATCACTGATACAAACAGATTTTCCAGGGAAAAGCCACTTGACTCCAGGAGGCTTTTTATTTTATATTTTTGGCTAATGCCTGTTCTGGATTTGGGGAGAAATGTGTAAGTAAATGGCCTCCTGGAGGAATGAAGCAAACACAACCACATCTGAGGTTTGGCAGTTTAAGATGGGGTACTGCTTTCCTAACAAGACAGAATTTTACTTAGTTTTTAAAAAATGCTTTAAACTCTTAGTCTAAATTACGTTTTCTAAAAAAAGTGACCATGTTTTCAAGATCTGGCTAGTAACATTCCATTCCTATCCCCATGAGTTGGTAATTTCTCCCATGTGAAAGACATGCCCAGATGATTTGGAATCAATATAAAATTAACACATTAATGACAATTCGTGCAAAATATATATGGTTAGTAATACATGTTTGCTGTTTGAAAATACAAGATCCAAGAATTGCTTCTTTCATTGGAAACCACTTAGAAGATAGTCTCTCAGCTTTAAATTTGAGCTGTTAAAAAATTACTAGATTAAAAATTTTTTGTAATATTAAATTTCAAGGCTGAATTTCTCATAAAGTTAAAATGCTACAAAAATCTATTTATTCTAATACAATTAAAATGGCGAAGGAATGTGTCAATAAAGTAGAATTGATATAATCATGTTAGGCCTGGGTAAAAAAGCAGTCGCTGTTGTCACATAAGTTATTCACAAAATGTCACAATAGTCACTTGGATATTTTTCAAGTTGTATGAGGTGAAGATTCAATTCATTTTTATAATAAAAATTATTTTATAAAAGAACTATTACTTATTTCTTAGAGAAAGGTTCATTAAAAGTAAAACTTTGAACTTCTGGGAGTATGAGTTATACCCCTGTTATTCTACAGCAAAAGACTCTTCCCTCTAAACAGGACGCACCAAGTGTTTAACACATTATCATCCTTCATCAAGCATAAACCTAACAGTCAGGAAATACAGCTGCAATGGCACAATTACCAACACACTCAGAATACACCCTGAAGCAAAGAAAACAAATGGCTTGCTTTTCATTAACAGAGTTTGGCAACCCTCTCCAAAGACAATGTTTTCCTTCCAGTCAGAGTCCCAAAAGGCATTTAAGGGGCTATTTGTTTAGGTAAACCCAGAGAACAAATTAATTGTAAAAATATTTATTTAAATTTCAAAATATCTATCATCAATACACACTGCCATTCAGAAGAAAATGATGTACATTAAGAGATGACATGGTAAAATAAAAATCCAATAAATACAGTACATGTATTTAAAAAAATATTGGTGCAAGAGGGTCGAGAAGTCCAATAATATCCTCATATTTGACCATAATACATAAGGTATTAATGGTTTTCATTTTCTGTTTTATAGCATATAATATGATAATGCGATGTACTTATATCTATGTAATAATGAGCTGTGTAATAACACGATTCTACTATATCAGATTTGAGTCCACATAAAGAAAATAATTAGTGATCAGCCTAAGATTCTAATAAAACAACATGTCATTGTCAAAAGCCTAGATGAATGGCATTCTTGAGAGGTAATAAAAGTCCAGTTTATTTGGTTGGGTTCTGGACACTTACTCTCGATATTACTACAACATCATTATACCTTAACAGATGTATCCCTCCTACTAACATTATATTACAATTAAACCAGGAACTATGACTTAAACCATACTTTAAGGAAGGCTCTGAGGCTATAAACGGCAATGGAGAGTCGTATTATATCCTGAACCACGGCCATCAAACTTTCACTGCATTCTCTGCCCAGAAATCCTCTAACATAATCAGCTTGATCCTCTCTGCAGGATGAATATCATGGCAAAAATTAAGGAGCCATATTTTCCTCAGCACAGGAGGCCAGGGATACACATATGGGTTCTCCCATGCTGTGGCACAACATCAATTTCATGAATTCACATTGTACTTTATATGCAATTAACTCAAACCTGAAGCTCTTCTGAATTGTACTGGTAGGTATCATTTCATCTGCCACCTGGATGATTTATGCTATGTACAGTTGTCTTGCAAACAGACAGATAATCTTTGAAACTGCACATAAAACAAAACCTGAGGCACACTCATGCTCTAAAACCTAAAAGCCTCTGTCTTAGCAAAGAGTAATCCATGGCATTTTCCTCAGGCCTGCATAAGGATTGTGAATAGTGTGAGATATAATTGAAACCAATCTGCTTGGTTGGGATGGGTGCTTCCTAAGGTGTTGAAAATAGCAGCAAACCACAGAGAAGAAATGCAGCCTCTACCAACAATGGCAGTATTACCAGTGTGACAGGGCCCAGGGCCCACTGCGTGCAAAACGTTTAGCTGGACAAAGGAGAATACGTAAGAAATAAAAGGCCCCTCCCTGAAATGCTTGGTTGACAGAGCAAAACTGTGCATATTCTGAATGCGTTCACCACGTAGCATGGCAGTAAGTGCCAATGAGTGGGCAAGTGACCAACTGGGAGGGGATTATGAGGAACAAACTCCATGGCCAGGTGTCCTGCCTGGAGTCAGGTCAGGTGTATCAGAAGGTGAGTGGGCTCTTCTGGGCTACTCTTGGGACTTTCAATTTAAGGGTCAGGGTCTTAAAGCATTTCTGTCTTTAGCCCTTTTGTAGATGCGGTGACATTACAAACATCTGAAAAATCAAAAAGCATTTTAAGGCAAAAAAAAAAGGTTTTTAATGTTTTGGCAAGCAAGGTGATGAGACACTTATAAATTGCTTGAAAAGTTAAAAGCAAGGGAATTTCAAGATGAGCTTCAGCTAGTTTGTACCTGGTCTTTTTCTTTCAAAGATATGACCTAGCAACAAAGCACCCACTGTTCTCTCTCACCATTCCTAAAATCCTTTTGGAACCCAAATCACTTCCTTATCTCCATATGCATTCATCCCCCGTAACCGTGACAGAGAAAAATAATTCCATATTTAGTTTCAACACTGAGAATCAGACACTCTGCTTTTATTCCTTCTGAGTCGAAAAATCATGGAATTTAATGTTGCTTTTTCAAATAGAAAATATTATTGTAGCCTTCTGGATAAATCTAATTCTATGTTAGATAATACTCTCAAAATAAAATGATATTTTTCAGAAGTAAGGCAGAAGGGGAAGACATCTCCACAAGGCATTTGAATTTAATAATTAACATTAGCCGAGTATGTGGGACATGTGCAATCTTTACTTTAGCAATGTCAAACAACTACATTCATTCATTCATTCATTCATTCATTCATTCATTCATTCATGCAGACAAACTCTGGCTCTGTTGCCCTTGGTAGAGTGCAGTGGCATCATTGTAGCTCATTGCACCCTCAAACTCCTGGGCTCAAGCGATCCTCTTGCCTCAGCCTCCTGAGTAGCTGGGACTATAAGCATGTGCCAGGATGCCCCGTAATTTTTCTTTTTACTAGAGATGGGGTGCCACTCTTACTCAGACTGGTCTCGAACTCTTGACCTCAAGCAATCCTCCTGCCTCAGCCTCCCAGAGTGCTAGGATTACATGCATGAGCCACCATGCCCAACCTCAAACAAGTATTTTAAAGGAGCAGGACCAACCATTAGGCCCAAGTCCACCACAGTTCATCTCCCAGTCACATGTATCCCAAGGTTCAGTTTGTGCTTTTGGATTGCAGTAGCTTATCATTGTATTGAATGCTGACATAGTAAAAAAGACCCTGCTGGGAGCATAGTTCTCTCTTTGGCATTCTGAGTCTTAGAATAATGGTGCTTGCTGCCATGGACTTTGCTTGCGATATAAACAAAACTTTACTTTTCATAAGATTTTCTAGCAGTCTCTCTAGCTTTCATACCTTTAATGTAGTGAATTCATAAGGCTGATAACCTTTGAAGCTCTCATGGATGGCTGCCATTGTGTGAGAAGTTTTCTCCCAAAAATGAAGCAGAGTAGTCTGTAAAGAAAGACAGTAAGCTATTAATATTCTGAATATCCAGTTCTGGTCACGAGTCCCTGGGTAGAGTGACCATCTGTAGCTTTCAACATCCTCTAAACTATGATTCCAATCATCTCCTACATTTCCCGTTCACACCCTGCATTTCAGTGAAGCTAAATGCTTCTGGTTTCCTCAAACGCTGCCTCACAAGCCTTCTGCTTCTCCCACTACCCGGGACTTCCTCCTCTCCAGTCTCTCTGTCTCATCTGATCCACCCTCCACAACCCTGGGCTAATCATTAACAATCTACTTTTGTGATCCCTCCATTGATTCAATTTTTTCCTTTTCAAACTCTCATTGGCTTTCTTAGCACTAATTTCACTTAACACACCACCCTGTTCTGTTCTAGGGTATAGAAAATAAATATAGTCAGACTTTACTATCTGCAACTTCCTTCCTAATCTTTGAGCTCCTTGAGAACAGGGAGCCTGTTCTTATTCATTTTTATATTCCCATTCCACCCTTAGTTGGTGCTCAATAGCACCGCTGATGGACACTGTGCTATCCTGAAGGAATGCAGAGGCTATCAGGGAGACAAAAGACAGCGCACTGAATAATGACAAGCCGATGAGGGAAGTATGACATGAGACATAGGCCTAGTACTAAGTGAGTTCAGAGGAGGCTTACTGAAGGACATGACAATTGGTCTGCTACATCAAAAAGAGTGGAATTTCTAAAAGCACAGATGGAGGAGAAAGAGACTCCAAGTAAAAGGAATGCCCTAAGTAAATACAGAGAAGTGGGAAATTACATTGTATGTATAGGGAATAGCTACTATTTGTTTTGATTAAACCATAGGACCCTAGAAGGCAGAGATGTGGGAAGTAAATTATGAAAAAAGCACTCAAAACTTCATAGTTCCCAAACCATACTTTGGGTACAAACACAATTTTTAAGACATCTGAAACTCATGCCATTCTTGGTTCATCGTACAAACATCACTTTGTTACCTGGTATGTTGCTAGCATGTGAGATAAGAGATTGCATCTGCTGGCTCCAAGAAGATCCACTTTTTGACACACGTCCATCTTCAATTTATCAAAGTTTTTTTTTGCAAGGCGTACTTGTGATTGTACCTGTGAAAGTAAAGGGCAATCTCTGAATTACTCAAACTGTTTGAGTAGTTAAAATTTGCAGGTGAGAAGAGATCAATAGTGGGCCTTTTCTCTTTCATATATGAAAACATTTTTGAAAATTTCAGCACATGAGAAGATCCTACAACATCTATTCTCTACCACCAAAGGACCTAAACAAAGAGTACTGCACATTGTGGTTTTACAGTAGACTTACCATCTTAATTACACTTTTCTTAGTCTAATATTATAATTCCTTCCCTCTTAAGGCATTCACAAACTGCCTGTAGTTGGGAAAAGTCTGGGCATATGCAGGGTGGCAAGGGAATAACCTTTGCTCCACTGTTTTCCTATAGTCCTTGGAAGCTGAGTTCCTGTATACTCTTCATTCAGTTTTCCTTAATGTTGACATATTACATAACAAGGTATGTTTGTTAAAACAAAGAAACTTATGATAATACAATCCTATTTACCAATTTATAGACTTTACTTTCCACCAGTTTTCCCTCCAATGTCTTTTTTCTGATTCAGGATCCAGTCTAAGATCTCATAGGAGGGGACTTTAACACAGCCTAAATAAACTATCCCCACTGATAAACTTTCAACCTTTTACCACTGAGTAATGTATACTAGCAATCCTCCATCCATCCTAAACCACGCAGTAATCCAGGGATGCAGTGAAGGTCAGGGGAAGATTCAGAAATGTCTATTCTATGCAATATTGAACAATAAAATAGAAAGTTTTAAAATTTGATACAGCTGCATTAAAAATTGTAAAGTCAAAATTTCCCCTTTATCCGATCTAAAGTGTCACCACATCATGTCTTGCCAAGGGAAAATCAGCCAATATATTTTTTTAAAAAACACTTTATTGATGTATGATTGACATAAAAAAGCTACATATTTAATGTATTCAAACTGGTGAGCTAAAATATTAATTGATCTCAGATAATGGACAAAGTTGTGGATACTAGGTAGGTTATTGAGAGCTGGAAGTAATGCTGATTTATTATCTGTAGCTCCTTCATCCTAGGGTACCAGGAGAGCACGGACAATGTCTACCTTGTTCATTAGTACTTTACTTGGCAACCAGGTGCTGATATACATATTTGTTGAATACATAAAGATTTTTTCCTGCCATTTCAAAAGGTAAGGTACTTGAGTGCACTTAAAGTATAACCTTTAAAGTAGTTTAAGAATGACTTTATTTTCTAATAAAAATAAATATGTAGATTATTTGATATAATCTACATCAATTTTTTTACCACTAATAATACCAAAATATTCATAACATATAAAATTATGGGGCATTATATTATAATAGCAAATCTAAGAATTGATACGATTTACTTATCATGTGCCAGCATTGTTCTATTTTGGCTTCTGTCATCACTGTCTCTTACTGATGAGGGTTGGAGAATTCATCAGGCCAAGTAATTTGTGGGCAGGGCTGGCATTCTAAATTAGCCTGCCTCTCAAGCAACTTACACTACTCACTGGAAAATCAAGAAGCTCAAAATTATAATTCTACCCAGAAACACAAGTTTTCCCTGTAGAAGCCTATGGAATTGGAAAATAATGAGGCAGCACATTTAACACCACACTGATAGAACTAATACCCTGTATGAATAGAATCTTGTGTTTATAGCTATACAAAAAAAATTCCTAAGAATTTCTCTGTATTTTTGGTCTACAGAGCTTGAAAGATTAAAGAATAGTAGCCATCCAGTTGCTCTCAAACTGACCATACCATGAGCTGGACCGTTCTTCACTGTATAGCAAAGAGCCCATAGTTTAAGTTATTTGGGAGCTCTGACTAGAAAAAGAGTCTAGGATGAGTTAAGTGTCTGTGATTTTCTGCCTTGCTTTGAGAGGACCAGCGAGACAGAAAAATGAAAACCTGAGCTTTGAAGGGGGGACGTGGGGGAGTCTGGAAGGAAGATGTTCGGCAGCTGAGATCCTCACTGCAGGTCCCCCAGTGGGTCACCAGTTGCCTGGGCCAGGAAAGCCTCCTCGACTGGGATCCTGAAAGATATCTGTCCTCAGCCTTTTCCTCTGAAGGGGAAGGAAATACACGTGGGGTGCGAGCTTTCACGTGTGCATTGATTCAACACATATTTACTGGTCAGAACCAGTGCTAGGAACTGGGGTGTCTGTTAAGACACATAACAGGTAGTCACTAAATATTTATGAAATAATGTGCAGGAGCATAAGGACCCCCTAACCTTTTAGAGAGGACATACAAGTTAGCAACTATATTATTACTATAATACGCCGGGGAAAGTATAACAATAGAACTAAGAGTGAGGAACAGAGATAGCATAGACAAAAAGAGGATTAATGCTGGCAGTGGGGTAGGACGGGGGTGGGTTGTAGGATGATGGCATTGAGCCCCAACTGATGGCCTCCCTATATCTCCACAGTCTGCACTGTGGCTTTGTAGTGTCCTCCTGCTCTTCCTCTGGGCTGGGCCATGTGACTTGCATTGGTCAATGGAATATTAACAAATATACTAAAACTGGAAGCTTGAAAAAAAAAATGCTAGCATGTTTCCACTTTTGCTCTGGCTTCTCTGACATGGCCATGAGAATATGCCCAGCCTGGCCAGCTGGAGGGTAATGAGAAACATGCACACAAGAGACTCGAGGAGAGACCAGTTGTCCTAACAGATCTATCTTTGGCCAGAAACACCTAAGTGAGCCCAGAAAGACCAGAATGGCCCTGCTGACCCACAGCCTTGTGAGTAATAAGAAATACTCATTGTTTAAAGTCATTGCATTTTATGGTGGCTGCATATTTTACAGTATTATTGTGGCCAGAAATTGTTGATCTAAACTGTAAGGAAATAGGAAATAATGGAGGATTTTGAGAGGAGGTAGGTCTTAAAGCATAACTAGGAGGTACATAGTAAATATGAATGTAAAGTATCCATAAGATTGGCTAATTTATATGGAGCTTCTAGAATTTTCTAATGAAATACAAATTAATTTTTTTTGGGGGGGGTGTGAATTTTCTTTTTTCCTTTACAGTAATATAATCAGTTACTCATAGATAGTCTTACATCCTAGGAGAAAACTTATTTCATTTGCTTCTAACACAAAACTCATGAGTTAATATAGTTTGAAATATGCCCTAGTTTAATTTTGTTTGAATTCTATAAGGTAATTTTAGAAAACTAGAAGACAACTCAACACTTGACCCTGTGAGTTCTGAAAGGCCATATGCTTTGTGTGTCAACAATGATTACTAAAATACTTAATGCACTGCTGAGTTTCCAAATGCTGAGCCCTTTCCCTGCCAAACAAGGATGATGCTACACTGTTGGGCATTTTGAATACAGTAAATCTCATTTAATATTTTGTGCTCCATGTCTGCTCTAGAAAACACATTTCCAGCCTGCAGCCTGAAGACAAAACACCAAGGAGACAGCCACGCACAGGCCACCATCAAGAGTCTAATTTCATATGCCTCCAGATGCACTTAAGTGAAAAATGTTTTGATTATTATTCCTCTCAATCCCTGATAAATTATATTCAATTACATAAATATCTTGAGGAGCTCCTGTGGTTTTCAAGGCTCTTTAAAAATTTTTCACTCAAATAAATGTACCCTTTGTTTATTTCTGAGTTGCATTTCTGTTACCCCTACCTCTCTCCTCTTACTCTCCAAGCTTTAGGAAATGACCGCGTATATTAGACCCTCTTTAGTCTGGGTCCTGCCTTCCTCAGGCCACAGAAATTCAATTTACCAGAGAAAGCAGCAATGTCTTGACTGCCAAAACTTTACGGCACTTTTTTGTACTTATTCCTCTTAACCTGAAATTCTAACTTTTAGTCCCAACTAGAACTACATACGGTGAAGCAAAGCTATTCATCCTTTCAGTTCAATCCACCCAGCGGAAAGGTCTTCGTACCTACAACCAAATCATCTGAGAGTAGTTTTACATTTTTTTTGTTAAGTATTTTATTCCCTTTAGCAACAAAATAAAACAAAGCAACCATTCTACTCTTAATTTTGTATCTTCTTCAAGGAGATAGCTCTGCTCCCTGGATCCATTCATTCAGCAAATGTTTACTGAGTATCTTCCATATGCTGCGAGCAGCGAGCACAAGTAGAACTGGCAGTCCAGTGGGAATTTAGATCTCGGTGAAGGCATAACTACAAATTGAGTGAGATGCTCAGAAGAAGAGCCACACAGTCCCACAACAATTATGGACCAAGGACTCTGACCCAGGGGATATCTGTCCTCGGAGGATGTGGCGCTCAACCTCTACTCTGAAGAGCTGAGCATGATTAAATGTGCAAGGCAAGAGAGTAGTACAGTAGAGGGAGGAGCACCTGCCAAGGCCCCAGGGCGGAAGACTATAAGGCATGCTCCAGAAATGAGAGTAGGCAAGTGCTGCTGGGTTGCTGAGAGCAAGCAGAAGGGAGGTGTGACATGAGGCAGAGAGGTGGACTGGGGCACATCCTAGAGCAGGGCTTTGTTGGTGTGCTCAGGATTTTAGTTTTTATCCTGGAAGAAGTGGGAAAACATTGTATGCTTTTATGCAAGAAAGAGACAGGATCCTATTTTCAGTTTGAAAAGAACACTCACTGCAATGTGGAGATAGACTGGAGGAGAGAGATAAAGATAAATAAGAATAGATCTGGATTCAAGGGGAAAGACGACAGTACACTTGGGAGTGATACGGGATATGGAAAATAGTGCTCTGACCAAAGAGACATTTAGGAGGTAGAGCAGGACCTGGTGAGGGGTTAAATGCTGGGGTGTGGAGGATGACTCCTATGTATCTGACCACCTGAACCCAATGTCATTGTCTAACTTGCCTTTCCGACCAGCTGATTCTTCTCCTACCAAATTCCCATGGACATCTTAGACCATGTCAGAATTCTTGGCCTTCTTTCCCAACCAGCTCTCAATACTCCTCCCTCATTAACTTGATCTGTTTACCCCTACTTTTCTCTGAGGCAGCATCCTGCACTTAGGGAAACATTTTAAGATC